TTTCGTACATCAACAAAAACGAAACAGAAGAGAAACAACCTCCCCTCCCCCCCAGAAACCCCCCCCCACCCCAAAACAATAACAAATAAACAAACAAACAAACAAAACAAAACATCACCAAATAGATCTAAATTTAAAAAATAAATTAATTAAAAAAATTAACGTATGGCAAACTTTGTGCGTCGCCCCTGAACGCTGATACGAGCAGATTTAGGCTAACCTCTTAATCCTTCTTCTTTCTTCACCTCGTCGACCAAAATGGCAATTTTCCACGCTTTTTTTATCTTTTATTTTTTGCTACAAGAGTATGTTAAAATGATGGAGAAACGGTGTCGTTCTGAGCTTTAGAAGGAGTCCGTCTAATCGATTTTAGTGCTAGCGTATGACGAGTGCTCTTGAACTATTAAAGGTGGACAGCATTGTCAGGTGTCTCGTGTCACTTCATAATGGCGTGGGGGAGGGGGGAGGGGCTCTTGTGGCCTAGAGGTTAAGGTTAAGGTGTTCGCCTTTCATTCAATAGGTCCCAGGTTCGAATCCGCGTAGCGATGGAAATATTTTCTGCTTTAGAATTGCCTCCTTCCACCTCTTTTCCTACTCTCTAGCAATGTTCCGTCTTCTGCTTTCGTCTCCACTTTCTGCCCCCCCCCCCCCCCCCCCCCCCACCTCTGGGTCTGGGCCCCACCAACATTTTACTGCTGTCTTTCACTTTCAGCAACACCTCTGATCTTCTGGCAGGAAAGATAATCACCTAGCCTTCTCAGACAAGGGCGAAAAATCTCGGAGGTCCCGTGTGCAAGTTGTGCACGTTAAAGATACCTTGGAGGTCCAAAATCAATAAGAGTAGGCTTCGGCCGCCACTCGAGCACAATTCATCATTTCCTACCAACTGAAAATGTTTAATGTGTCCTGCGCTCTCATTTGACGTTATGCAGTTGCGAGCGCCGTAAAAACACTTACACCCCACCCCAAAAAAATAAAAATAGAAGGTGGACAGCATTGTTAAAAAGTGTCTGGTGACACTACATAATGGCGCGAAAGTCAATGGCGACCGTCATGGCTGACTTCAGTTAGTTCACAGACGGCAGTTCTTTCGTTTGTTAGTTAAGTAGTTAATTCGTTTTTTAAATTTTGTTTGTACGTATGTGTGTATTGTTTTTTTTTGTTGCTTTGTTTTGTTTGTTTAAGCTATAAGCGAAGACAAGGCCATCGACACAATAATGGGCGCCACTGGTTGGTCGTACTTTATTAAACCATATCCGTACTCCCTGGGGTCATCATGGTTCTCTATTCATCCTCCAGTCAGATGCCCTTTAGAAAAAACACAACCCCCCCCCAAAAAAACAACAACACAACAACAACAACACAAAAAACACCAAAAAAAAACAACAACAACAACAACAACAACAACATTATCATGCTGTTTCATCGTCACACGTGTTTGTGTTTTCCCAAAAAAGTGTCTCTGGATCTACCCGTGTCTCGTTCGTCTTCTATTTGTCCAGTGGAAGTGTAAAATACCTACATTAATCTAAAAATAGAAGTTTCTCAACGCTTCTACATGTCAGCAGCGAGATATACGTCCTTCGGCTTCTCTTGTTTTATCGGTTAGAATCTCAGGAAGGTTGCTCAAATTCTTTTCGTGTAATCCTAACCGTACGCCCGGGGGGCACGTTGTACCCCTGGGGCTGTATTCTTTCCATTTTAGAATACTTCTAGTTCGAAGATCTCTTTGAAACTTTCAGTATGTCTCAAAAAATCATTTTGACAGACTGCTATGCAAAGCGTACGGATCGGATTAACGGGTAAATTTCCTCTTTGGAAAGTGGTGGCACAGATTCCCCTTGTCGTATGGATAGGATAGTATAATAGGTTTAGTTAAAGTTTTTACGACACTTGCAACACAATCAGGTCATATAAGTGCCGAATGTTAGAGAGGTGTTACAAGAGAGTAATTGTTCGATAGCAAAGAAGGCGCAGACCACACCAGAACACCCGCCAACTACCCACACCGAAGTTTATAGATGTTACAAGAGATTACAAAATAAAAAAAAGAAGGAGGAGGGAAAAGGACGATAGATGTTTGATAGGGAAGAAGGAGCAAATCGTCCTTATCTCTCCTCCTTTTTTGTGTTTGTTACTCTCTTGTAACACCTGTAATCTTCAGCACTTATATGACCTTATTGTGTTGCAAGTGCTGTAAAAGCCTTACTAAAACGAATACCAAACTAGAGATGATAATAATATTGTACCTCCAGCCTATGGAACCAAACATGTCGGAATCTGGCGAAGATCAGTGGAGGTCTGAAAGTAAAAAGGGGACTGCACGCACTCTAAAGTAATCAGTGTAGTCTCGACGAGTAGAAGGTCAAAGGTGAGCTCTTTTGACTGAACCGAGTTTGTTGATTGTGAGGGGCAAAGTCGGCATCACGCGCCTAGTTAAGGTCTCAGACGAGACAGTTAACGATACAGACGTGGGGTAGAACTTTCCTGATGTTTGAACGGTGCTCTGACACGACAGGTCTTTCTTGTTACTCCGTGGAACACGGTTGTAACTCGAAAATAGTAACTTTTAAGAGAGAGAGAGAGACAGAGAGGGGGGAGGGGAGAGGGAGAGGGAGAGAGAGAGAGAGAGAGAGAGAGAGAGAGAGAGAGAGAGAGAGAGAGAGAGAGACCGTTGTCATTAT